GAATTGTTGAAAACAGGCACCAAATGCTTACATGCAGTAAGTGTGGTGTTTTTAAGCTAAAGGTGTACACTAGTTTTTTTTATGACACCGTTCCTACTAGTGTTCGAGCTGCATTACAATCTTCTAGTTGGAAAGCAGCTATTCAGGCAGAACTTGATGCACTACAAGAAAATAATACTTGGTCTCTTGTTCCCTTGCCCAAAGGACGTGACATTGTTGGTTGCAAGTGGCTCTTTAAAATAAAGAAGAATTCAGATGGATCTCTTCAACGATATAAAGCACAGTTGGTTGCCAAAGGGTACTCACAGGTTCCTGGGTATGATTTTAAGGATACATTCAGTCTATTTGTGAAATTCATCACATTGAATGTAGTACTTTCACTTGTTACCACTAAGAATTGGTCGCTGCATCAAATTGATGTGAATAACACATTTTTGAATGGAGAGCCGTCTGAGGAAATGTTCATGCAGCAGCCTCTAGAGTTTGAATAATTTGTTGCTGATGAGTTATCTCTCGTGTGTAAGCTACATAAAGCTTTATATAGGCTTCACCAGGCACCCAGAAATTGGCATGACAAGCTTAAGGTTAGTCTTGAGCGAATGAGATTTGTTGAGTCCTTAGCTGATGTGTCACTCTTTGTGAAGTGTGTAAATAACTGTTATACACTTGTTTTGGTTTATATGGACGATATAATTATTATTGGTGAGTGTAAGGATGATGTTGAGAGAGTGATTTGACTCTTGCAAGGAGATTTTTTATTCAATGACTTAGGTGAACTGAGTTTTTTTTTTCTGGGGTTGAGGTTATAAAAAGTAGTGGCAAGCTAGTTCTCTCACAAAAGAAATATGTTCTTGAGTTTCTAGAAAGAGAAAATATGCTAAATGCTACTCCGACTGCCACTCCAATGGTCGGATCATTAAAATTGCTTTATGGCGTAGGATCATTACTCTCTGATGCTCGTGAGTATAGAAGTCTGGTTGGTGCACTTCTGTATGTGTGCCACACTCGACCTGATATAGCGTTTAGTGTAAATAAAGTTGCTCAACATATACATGATCCCCGTGAGTCTCATATAGCACTAGTTAGGCGTATACTTCGGTATTTGGCTGGTGCCCTGGACTATGGCCTCACGTTCTTGGCTGGTGAAGCAGGGCTGAAGGTTGTTGCCTTTGCTGATGCAGACTGGGGAGGTGATACAGATGATCGCATGTCAGTTTCTGGTCATACAGTGTTTCTTGGACAGTGTCCTGTGGTCTAGAGCTCGAGGAAGCAGAAGACTGTTTCTAGGTTGACTATGGAAGCTGAGTACCGTAGCAGACACATCAGCAGAAGTAACCTGGATTAATGCATTACTAGGTAATCTTGGAGTGAATCATCATGAAGAACCAGTTATCTGGTGTGATAATACAAGCGCAATTTCCATGAGCATGAATTCGGTTTATCATGCAGAGTCAAAGCACGTGGACATGGATGTTCATTTCATTAGGAAAAAGGTAGCTGCCAAAGCATTGCGTGTTTTTTATATGCCAACCAACTATCAGGTAGCAGATGACCTCACTAAGCCATTGACTAAAGCTGCGTTTGAAGTTTTTAGAAATAAGATATGTGTACTGCCTTGTTGAAGAAGGAGGAGAAAGGAGAGGGAATATTGGAATAGTTAGACAGTTAAGGCTTGGTTAAGGGAGTTAGAGATGTTAACAGTTAGTTGAGTTAGTTAAACTAGGCTTGTTGTTCTTGTAAAGCATTATCTGTAGCTATAAAACAATGTATCCGATTTACTTGAAAGAATGAGAAAGTTCCAGTATTCATTGAGTTCAAACCTAGTATTCTAACACTTGAAATCTTCGAAGAAAAAAACGTGCATTTATGCTAGAATAAAAAAATATTATATTACTAAATATAAATCCTCAAGCTAAATGGTACAATTAGCAAGCTTTTACCTAAGATGAGAGCCAATGATGAGCGCACTGAGCCAGGGAACTTGGAGCATATGAAAGGACCAACAACAAGACTAGGAATCACTGTCACCACATGCAGTCCATGTTGTGCACCAAATTCAAGAGCAACCCTCTCTGTGAAGGTCTTAGAAGTTATGTAAAAACCAAAGTTTGGGGTAGTTTTACACCTAACGAAACCCACATCAGACCAGAAACTCTCATCCATTATGTCCAAATCCTGGCCGTTGAAAACAACGGCGGATGCACTAGAAGTATAGATAACTCTCTTCATTGTTCATGATTTTAAGCATACTTTCAAGATGCCTAGTGTTCCACTGATCGCCCTTTCCGTCAGGATTTCCTCAGTTTCTTTGTTTTCGAAATCCAGTGGAGTGGCAACATAGAATACTCCTTTGATTCCCACTAAGATCTGCGTTAAAGATCTTGAGCTTGCGAGTTGCCTTTGGTAGATTGGTGAGGAAGCTAAGGTCTCTTTTGTTTTCTGTTCATTTGTCATATACGTGACAGATGGAAAATTTTATATTAGGGAGTAAACTTATAAAATTTTAGACGCAAAAACAAGTTATCAATAAAAAATATCTAAATTATTTAAATTTAAAATTTTCAGAGGCCATCACCCTTGTCGATCTCCTTTCAATCCATCCCTGGTCATACCACTCTTTAGAATAAGAAGAGAAGAGAAAAGATGTTTTCTTTGTGAGTTTTAAGTAGTGTTACCTGAATCAGCTCTAACAGTGGTACGAATAGCGTAAACCTCCTCTAAAAGCCTCTTGATCAACCATGAAGCTATGAACCCTGTACCTCCAGTGACACACACTGATCCCTTATCAGCTTCCATTACGCTTTACTAGCTATTTTCGATGTATAACTCTTCGTGTGGTGTTAGTTTAAAGGCGTATTCCTTTGTTATCAATCGATCTTCTGCGACTTTTGCACCATAATGGTTTTGATTTTTTCCACCCGTTAAATTCCACTACTCTCAGGACCAATGGAGGAGATATTTCGATCCTAAATTAAAAATGCGGGTGCAATGACGTTACTGATTTGCTTCGCATTCTGGTCGGATCAGGTCAAGTCAAATTATATCAACAACAACAATAAAACTCTATTCCCATATGCAATAGGGTAAGGGGAGGTAGGGTAGTAGGATGCCCCCAACGCCAGGTTGAGAGCAACTTCCGTGGAAGACCTCTGGCAGTAAGAAAATTAAAAATAAAGATAAAATACAATGCATGTATAAATAAATAAATAAATACATAGTTGGACAATATCCATATGCAGTCTTCATATGCGCGTCTATAATGGGAAGTAATCCCTGCAAATAAATCCATGCGTAAAAATCTCTACATATAGACAGAAACGTAAGTCCCAGCTAAATTTTAAAAGAGGGAACATGAAGAGAAGGATGCACAGAAGTCAACGATAGCAAGCTACGAGAAGGAATAAAGTCAAATGAGTTAAAAACCTAAACTAAGGCAACACTACTCCGCTACACTAGTTCTAAACCTTCATAATTTCCAATGACAGAAACGTATAAAAAGTAGAAGTCATAGAAAATTACTACAAAGACATTAAAAAGAAGACAGAGATGTTACACCCTATGGCTGTGACCTACACTACTCGGCTACCCTGGTCTTAAGTCTCCATACTTTCCTATCAGAGGTCATGTCCTCGGTAAGTGTTAAAACATTCAAATCAACTCTCAAGCAGTCTACCCACTTCCTCCTTGGTCGTCCTCTCCTTCTGGCACCGTCGGTTGTAATCGACTCTACCCTCCTGACCGCATCCGATGGTTGTCGCCTAAGGACATGCTCAAACCACCGTAGTCTTCCCTCCCTCAATTTTTCGGATACATGCACCACCCCAAGGACATCCTAATAGCAGAGTTTGGTGTCATGTCCCACAGAGTCCTACCACATGCCCATCGAAACATTCTCATTTCTGCGGCCTCCAAGTCAAATTATACCAAGTTAGATTAAATTAAGTATGTATTTTGTGAGGTCAATTTTGTTGGTTTGACTCAAATCAAGTTAAGTTCGGGTCAACTTGGGTTCAGGTTATTATCATGTTGATTTTAAATTAGACTTTGTTTGAGTTCGGGTCAGGTTAATTTCAGATCATGTCAATAGCAATTTAGATCAAAACGGTTCAGGTCCAATTCAATTAAATATCAGGTTAATTGAGGTTCGTATGAACTTCAAGTCGGGTCTCGTTTAGGGTCACGTCATTGACATATAAAATTCAAGTTGAAAAATATCGATTTCAGGTGAACTTCAAGTCGGGTCTTACCAGGTACAAATGGACTTCATGTCGAGTCATTTTCGAGTGAATTAGTTTCCTCCTTTCACGAATGATGTCTAATTATAATTGTATATTTGTATTGTATACTCTCTTTGTAACGTAAAAATGTGCATTATGGATTTTTTGTTATTTTTTTAAATTTTGACTAATTATTATTTAAAATGTATTATTGATAAAAATATGTAAAAATATATTTTAAAAACCTTCAATCAAGTAATTTTCAAATATATATTTTAAAAACCTTCAATCAAGTTATTCCTTCAATCAATGTATTAAGTACAGTGAGGAAACTAGAAATATTTAAAGTATAGTGAGTAAAATAAGAGAGATAATAAAATTTAATTATCAAATTTGTAATTTATCCTAAAAAATTATATACAGGCTTAATCGTAATGAGAAGTTTCGATTCATAGAAAATAATGGGGTCAAATAAAAACGATGGAGTGATTAGGAAAACTTAATACATTAAATTTAGTAAGAAAATTGAAATTTTTTAAAATTTAATAAATAAAATAAGAGAGGTAATAAAGTTATAAAATTTTGTAATTTACTCGATCTCTTATTTAACGTAATGTAGTGCGCCACCGGCCCCAATCAAACTCTTCTTTAAAATATTTGAATACAAACGAAAGCAGTTCAGCTGTTGTCCTAAACATACTGTTTATTACTAGCTTGTTAAAGCATTTGTTTAATCTGGCTTTTAAATTTCATTCTTTCTCAGTTAAACCAAAAATTAGTATCCATTTTACTTCCTCTCCGTCCGCTCTTATGTCGAGCAAGCAAGCATGCATTCCACACCTTTCATGGAATGCCAAATCCCCATATAAACCCTAAATTCACAATCACTATCCCACTCTCACAAATCCCTTACTAGAAAAACAACATAAAGACAAACCCAGACTTTTATTTTCCTATTGTTTCACTTAGATTATCTTAACACCCAAGTAATCCCACCAACCTTAATTATATTATTAACGTTTTAGTCATTCTCCCAAGGATTTAAACGGTTGCAAGAACTGTGATTAAAACAAAAAGGATCAGGCTTTCTTTTTCGTCATTTTTTCTTTTCGGTGTGGGGTTTTATTTTACTCGGGCAATATGCATAGATCTGGAGCAACGATGGCGTGGAATGTGTTCAGGTTTTGTACGGGTCTGAGGGGCCTCGGCTCGGTCATGATCCTGCCGGTTTTAGGAGTCGTGGGTGTCACTTACTATTCTGTCGTTTTGACAAATTTTGGCCCAGCTTTGTTCGACGGCGGCCTCGATTCCCTCACCGCTGTTGTCGTCTTGATCTTATTTCATTGTCTGGTAAGTCTCCGAAATTAACCTAATTTGGTTAATTTGGTTAATTTGGTTTTTGAGAATTGCACCTCTGTTTCTGCAATTTCACTAAAAGTCAGCTACTGTGAAATTTAAAGTCAGCTAAGTAAAGGATCGTTTTCCCTCTTAAGTGGTTAAGATGGTTCTGAAAATGTTAAAGTTTCAAATTTGTGTTTGCTCGCCCATTAGTTAAGAGTGGTCTTTTAGGATCTTAAAATTTCCCCTTTTATCCTAAATGTGGTGTATATTTATTGTTGTTTGTTATATGTTAGAGAAAAGAAAGAGCAAATCTGAAATATTGTTAAAACGCAAAGGCTCCATCTTGATCCTTTTCTTATACATAGCTTCGAACATCCAATGCTAGAATAATTAACTTGGGTTTTGGATTTTTGATCAATGTAATCATATTGCTAAAAAGAACGCAGAATACTGGATTGTTAAATGTAAGGTGAAAAGTGACACTAAATATGGAAATTTTGATGTGATTCTGCAGCTGGCGATGCAATTATGGAGTTACTTTTCTGTTGTTTTCACTGATCCGGGTAGCGTACCAGCTAACTGGAGGCCAGCTTTGGACGAGGAGAGAGGGGAGACCAACCCATTGAATGGTTCAGAGTTCAATGGCTTGCAGTCAAATCCATCGAATCAAAGGATTAGATGTTGTCGGAAGTGCAACCAGCTGAAACCACCTCGCTGCCATCATTGTTCTGTTTGTGCGTTTTTCATACACTACTAAAGTTCGTCGTTTCTTTCTGTGCACATGCTAAATATTGTCATCATCAATGATCAGTTCCATACCAATTTCATTGTTTCAGGTGGTCGGTGTGTGCTAAAGATGGACCATCATTGCGTGTGGGTTGTCAATTGTGTTGGTGCATTAAACTACAAGTATTTCCTTCTTTTCTTGGTATGTTTTATTTTCCGAAGTAGTTTCTCATTCTTTTATGCCCACTAGGTCATACTTTGCTATATTCTTAGCTTGAAGAATTTTTTATGGAAGCATAACTTGAGTTGTGGAGTGTTTCTTTCCACTGACATTTTCCTCTTTGCATTGATTATGTTGATATAACTTATGATTGCAATTTATTTGATGTTGTTGGTGCCTGTTTTCTTGGCATTTTTTAACTATGATTTTAAATCCCGATGCAGTTTTACACACTCCTTGAGACTAGTCTTGTGACTTTGGGTTTATTGCCTCATTTCATAGCATTCTTTACTGATGTAGAAATTCCCGGAACTCCTGGAACCTTGGCCATCACTTTCCTTGCCTTTGGTATGGGCTTCATGGACTACTGTTCTGATCTATTTTATTAAGTTACCGTGTAGTATGTACAAATGTATGACTATGTGCTGCTGTGGCAGTTTTGAATCTGGCATTTGCATTGAGTGTCATGGGCTTTTTGATCATGCACATGTCTTTGGTGGCAGCTAATACAACAACTATCGAGGTATTTGGCTTCGTCTCGAATTTTAGTACCATGTCGTAATATTTGCTGTTTTCAGCTCTAGTCTTTATCATCAAATGGTATCAAGAGATGCTCAATTTTCCAACAAACTCAATACTAGACCAAGTAGATCAATGAATTTTTTGGACAACCGGGTTATGTGTTGTTGTCCTCCAGAATGCAGTATAAATGGACTCAAATTTACCAACGAAATCTGTCATTGTCTCCGTAACAGGCCTATGAGAAGAAAACCTCTCCAAAATGGCGTTATGACCTTGGTTGGAAGAAAAATTTTGAACAGGTTACTGTTTTTGCCTTACATTGCTATCTTCCTTGTTTAAAACCATCAGTTTAACCATGCTTTGGTGTTTGTCTATGTGTACAGGTGTTTGGCACAGACAAGCGATACTGGTTCATTCCAGCTTATTCAGACGAGGATTTACGACGAATGCCAGCACTTCAGGGCCTTGAATATCCATCAAAGCTTGATTTTGATTCACAGGAGTTCTAAAAGGTTAATAATGAAACAGCAATAATAATATAAAAACATCCACCACGCCAGGAAATTTGGAGAACTTTCTTTATAAACAATGAAGGTTGGTGCATTGCTCCACTTGCCTTGTATTCTAACAGGTGTATTACTATGCGGCCAGTTTCGGCTTCTAACTGTTCATTCCTCGGGCATCGTCATGTATAATAGCAATACAGTGAGAATATATATCAGCATAGGGTTGTGAAAGTGGTGGTGGGGGACTGACAAGTTTACTTTCATTTTTTTTATATATAATTACGTGTTCTGATTGTATTTTCGAAAGTACAATGTAACATTTCTCGTCGTGATATTATTAATTTAGTTCTTGTAGATTTCTTGCATTAATGATTGGAAAACTTAGATATTATTAAATTTAACGTTTATTTGAAATGGTGAAATGTTATATAAATTCTAATGTAAAAAAAATTATATTATTCTCATCTTCAACATCAAAATATCTTTATAAATTTAATGTTTTTTATGTAACTAAAAAAATGAAAAGAAAATCCTTTCATTTAGCGAAACGAAAATCCTATTGCGTATATAAATCTACAACAAAATTATAAAATTTTATTGTTCTTAATTTTATTTGTCTCGAGTTAAGTTTTGAAGCATATAAAATTTAAATTTTTAAACAGTAATTGATTGTTTCTACATACCTAAACGCGTGACAGATTCTAGATCTATCTTTACCTCCACGACTATAGATGATTGTCACGTGAAATAACGTGTTTACACCACTGAATAGAAGAATGCAAGAACATTTGATTTCTTCATAGTTATAAATTTATCAACACTCTTAGACGTCTGAAACAGACTAGGGATGGACTTAGAGGGGTAGATGGGTCAATCGCTTCTTAAAATTTTAAATTTTTATATATTTTAGTTTTTTTATATTTTATGTTAAAATTATGTTTTTGCCATCGTAAAATTTTATAAGTTTTTCTTTCCTTTAAAGTTTCATAAGTTCACCCTCCTCTACCGTAATATCATGCACCCGTCTTTGGAAAGAGTGTGTCACGAGTTTTTTAAAATTAAGGTTTCATCATCATTTTGTTCTTTCTAATGATATTTTTTGAACAGGAGATCTTCAAAAGAATTTCTGGGAAGATTGCCCCGTGTAAAATTTCTCAGGAAAGTAGCCTCTTTAAGATCACTATTTTCTAAGAAAATGGAAATGGAAAATTACCAGAACATTTCTATCATTCAGCAGCTCCTAATGGGTTCTGGCTTAATTCGTAAAAATCCAGTATTTAAAAGCCCAATAAGTTTCCACTGAAGGACCAGAAGAATAATAAACCCTAGCCCGAGCGAGCATTTCATTTTTGATTCCAGGGTTTCTTTGCTCAGAGCAAGCAGGACAGAAGCAGCCATGCAGTCGAACTCCGAACTCAGCAACCATGGGTCGTGTGCACAGATGAGGGTTTGTATTTGCTCATCACACATTATAATTCATTATCCTCCAAAAACAATCCTATGATTTATGTAGTTGAAATCAACTCTTCAAGATCGATCGGACTCTGTTTGCAGTAAGGGTATCTCCGCATCTGTTCTGCCTTACAAGAGGACTATACTAAGGACATGACATCTGATAAAAAAATATAGAGACTTAAGACTAGGGTAGTTGAATAGTGTGGGTCACAGCTACCATCTATGTTTTCTTTTTAATACTTTTGTAGTAATTTCCACGACTTCTACTTTTTACATTTCTTTCATTAGAATTTATGAAGGCTTAGAATATGATAACAGAGTAGTGTTGCCTTAGTTTAGATTTTAATCCATTTGACTTTATTCGTTTTCGTAGCTTACTATCGTTGCCTTCTGAGTATCATTCTCTTCATGTTTTCCCTGTTTAATTTTAGCCAGGTCTTACGTTTTTATCCGAGATTTTTTTCTCAGGGATTATTTTCTATTTCAAGCGTGTATATGAAAATTGCATAAGAAAACTGTTCAATCATGTATTTATTTATTTATTTATACATGTATTGTATTTTATCTTTATTTTTAATTTTTCTTACTACCGGAGGTCTTTCGCAGAAGCTGCTCTCAACCTGACGATGGGGGCAGCCTACTACACTACCTCCTCCTTACCTCATCACATATGAGAATAGAGTTTTATTGTTGTTGTTTTTCTACTTTGAAAGGACACAATTCTTTTTTTCATGTTCTATTGTTTTGTTTTATAATTGATATTTGAATCGTCTACCGGATTGGTTAGAATAGTGGCAGGCAAGAATCAGATGTTTGATAAATGGAAGCTTCATTATTTTTTAATACTAGTTAATTAATTCAACATTGTAATGGCTAGAACTCATTGATTGGCCACAGTGGTAGAAGAGATTGTTGTTCTTCCTAGAGATCTCAGGTTTGAACATATGCTTGTGCAAGAATCAGATCTTTGTTCGAACGTTGTCTTGTGTTTCATCTTTCTTCAAATCTGATTCGTTTCAAAGATAACATTGAACCCATCTTTGTTTTCTGTGAGGACTTGCTCCCGAGATCCCCAAGGATCTGTACTACCTGATTAAGGAAGCTGTTTCCATCAGAAAACATCTCGAGAGGAACCGTAAAGACAAGGATTCCAAGTTCAGGTTGATCTTGGTCGAGAGCAGAATCCATCGTCTTGCCCGCTATTACAAGAAGACAAAGAATCTCCCACCTGTATGGAAATAGTAAGTATTTGTATCCCTGCTCCCATATGCTGTTCTTCGATATGAATGCCTGAACCATGGCGAGTGAGAGGCATATGGTCGTATAGCAACTCACTGAAATTGTTATCAAAGATTGTTTGTGACCCGCAAATCTCAACACACTTTTCCTTTATGCAGTGAGTCAACTACCGCCAGTACTCTTGTGGCTTAGAGCAAGGGCACATAATGAACCAGCTTCCAGTGCTTCAATTGCGATTCACCTTGATTTGCTGGACTCAACCTTTATTATTTTTTATTGAAATGTTAAGTGTAGTAGGGAAATATTATGTTTTGTGCATCAGAATAAGTGATCTTTTTTTTACCCCATTTGAAATGATCATCCAGCTCAGTTGGTAGAGCACAAGGTTCTTAACCTTGAGGTCGTGGGATCGAGTCTCACGGAGGGCATTTTATAATATTCGGAGGTCTCTTACGGAAGCTGCTCTCAACCTGGTGTTGAGAGTAGCCTACTATCTTACCTCCCCTTACCCCATACATATGGGAAAAAGAGACGGGAGGTGTTTGAACTAAAAGGTTCTCCGTCAATTGAAGAGAATTCCAAGTCTATATAGTTCAATGGACTTAATTTTGCGGTAGTTAGGCTTCAAAATCACTAAAAAAGGACTGATAAATGACCTTTAAGTTAAATTGATTTTTTTCCATTTAATTTTAGGACTAAAATGAATTTCTGAAATTAGTTTGAGATTTGTTTTAAAATTGAACCAATTTCGATTCCTTTGAATACTCCAAATGGAGACCCAATTGGAGCCCAAGTGCCAAAAAAAGATTCATTATACAAATGGAGGGGCTTTCACCCAAATTGCCGCCGCTCATGTATGTATATATTCCTCTTATATTTTTATTGATACTATTAGGATATCTTCATGTATACTAATATTAATTTTTTTGACCGATTTGAATTACTTTTAATTTAAATTATAATTAACATTATTATAATTATAATTACGTTTTATCTTTTTATATTATCTTTAAATAAAATAATTAAAAATCACAACTTTAAAGATTAAATTTGTTTTTAATAAGATTTATGTATAAATTCTCAATGATTCTGTCAAAAATCATTGTTGATATGCTAAGTCATCATAAACAATTAGAAACCAAGATTTAAATAGTGATTCGTTTTATAAAAGTATTGGTATGGTTAAAAATGGTTATTATACAACCGCGATACATATAATGACCGCAATAACATTTGTTGTGTCTGCAATTATTATTAATAGGGGTGTGCAAATCTAGGTACCCGGGTTTTCGGGTACCCGAAGTGTTGGGTACTCGGATCTTAGGGTAATTGATTTCTCGACCCGTGTCTCGACTCGGATGTTAACGGGTACCCGGATACTCGATTTTTTTCAAATTATTAATTAAAAAAACACACACAAATTTAAATATTCGAAACTTTGAATTACATAGTCCAACATCCAAACATAATTTAAAAATGTCATGTTAGCATCATTGTTCATTTTTAAATATGGGTGACCAAAATAGAATCAAAACGTAACATTAGGTATAATTTTGAAAAATATAATAATCGAATGACCAAAACATAAATTAGATAATATAAAGTGACCAAATAGGTAGTTTACCCTAAATAATAATCGAGTGACCAAAACATAAATTAGATAATATATAAGTGACCAAATAGGTAGTTTACCCTAAAAAATAATTCCCTAACCGGGTACCCGACTCGTCCGGGTAATTATTTTAGAAAATTACCCAATTTTTTAGGTTCGGGTTGACGGGTCAGATCAATCGGGTCGAGTATTTTTGCACACCCCTAATATAAACACAATACAATCAATTGTTATATAACGGTAATGTTATGTATCAGAAAAACGATTGTTCTATAACAGTAATGGTAGTGTTCAAAATTATTATTATACAATCGCGATACATATAATAACCGCAATAACATTTTTGTCTGCAATTATGACAAACATAATATAATCGAAGACACGATTGTAATTGTAATTTAAAACGTAATTGCAATTTAAATCTCTATTAAAAACTACAAAACCCTTATGCCATGACCTAAAAAGACGCAAATAATACCTTCCACGAATCATAAACAAATATAGAAAGGAATGGAACAACATATCAGCGTGTGCTATTTTTTTTATTGGCAATGATACAATGTGTGCCAATCAGTCAATACAATGCAATAAAAAAAACCCTAAAGAATTAAATTTAACAAGAAAGAAAGAAAATTGTTGTGGTGTTCATTTGATACAGCGTGTGCCTGCCCAGCAAACAATGTCCACTGATCTCAAACCTTGTTCAAACACACAAGAAATAACAAAAAACCCGCAATAAACACAGAAATATAAAAAACAATGATTAAGAAGGTTAATGAACTACTACTATGAGAATTCAAAGAATGAATTCATCCAGCAGCTTTCTTCCCACCAGAATAGTAACTCAGATACCACCTCACAAACTTCTTCAAACCACTCTGCAAATTGGTACTCGGCTTATACCCCAGCTCCCTCTGAGCCAAGCTAATATTGGCATGAGTGAACTCAACGTCCCCGTTTCGAGGCAACTTCATTATCTTCCTCTTTGCATTCACATTCAATAGCCTCTCCAAGATACTCACAAGGTCCGAAACCGGAACAGGCCATGTGTTCCCCAGATTGTATACCCTCAATTGAGCTGGACCCTTCTTCTTCCCTCCACTCCCTGTGCTCTTCTCGGCCGTATCCAATGCACCTAAACACCCTTTCACAATATCATCAATATACGTAAAATCTCTCGCCACCGTACCATGATTAGCTGCCTCGAATATTGATATCGACTTCCCCTTCAATATATCCCTGGTGAAGAAGAAATATGCCATATCTGGCCTACCCCAAGGACCGTAAACGGTGAAAAACCTCAAACCGGTTAAAGAAAGTCCGTATATATGATTGTAAGTATGTGCAATTTCTTCACCAGCTTTCTTAGTCGCAGCATATAAACTAGCAGGTTGATCAGTTCTATCTCTCTCAGAAAATGGAACTTTGGTATTAAGACCGTAAACAGAACTCGAAGATGCCCACACGATCACAGGCTGCGGATTAGCAGACTTGCAAATTTCGAGTAAACTAACGAAACCAGCAATATTGCTATGCACATAAGAGCCAGGATTTTCCATGGCGTACCTGACGCCAGCTTGAGCAGCTAAATGCATAACGTGGGTGAACGCGACAACCTCGAAAAGTTTCCTTAAAAGAGACGAATCGTTGATGTCTCCTTCGACAATGTAAACCCCAGTTTGCTCCAGAAGCGCTTGCCTAGCTCTTTTCAACGAAGGGTCGTAATAGTCATTGAAATTGTCAAGTCCAAGAACACCGTCTCCGCGCGTCTTCAAAGCAGCCGACACGTGGGTACCGACGAAACCGGCGGCTCCGGTAACCAAAACACAGATGCCATTGTGGGAACGGATACGGGCAGATGAACGCACCCTTTTTTCCCAAGCGGGTCCACCCCAATTGAAGGTACGGAGAGAGCGGCGCGAAGGATCTTGCGGGAGGGGATTGGAGGAGGGAGATCGAAAGAAGAAGATCAAGATCACGCCCATGAACATAAAGGACCAAAACGTGAGCTTTGCAAGAGAGGAGTGCCACCTCAATCTATTGTGAACGTAGGGTGATTTTTCCATCTTGAATTTCCCAGGCGTTGATGGAATGTTGTCAAGATGAGACATTTGCTTTGACATTGTTAAAAAAGAAACCCAGAATTCGGAGAATATTTTCCCCCCTGTAGTTTCAGGATTAGGGTTTGGGAAAATGGGTATTCCAGCTAGAGGGAATGTTCTGCTCTGTCGTTGGTGGTGGAGGAGGAAAGGGAAGTTCTTTATATAAGTTCTTCTTTATCTGGGGGGTTGAGTCTTTCAGGCGGCCGGTTACGATGGTGGTAATGGAGCTTTCAGTGTGACTCTGGTCTCTGGCTATCTCTGACTCATTTTGATGATGAAAATGAGAATCTTGACATGATGGGTTTGTTTCTCATTTGGTTTACATACGCACAGCTCTCTCAAAATGGTTCTAAGAAAAATATTAATCAAGATTTGATTTTTGTTTTAAAACTGAATGGAAACTTGGGTGAAATAGTTAAAAATAGGGAGGTTAAGAATATAATAAATGAGTAAAATTACCACCTTCGTCTATATTTATCTGTGAGGTAAGAAATTGATTTCAGTCTGGGATTTGGTTGGACAAGGTAATTTGCCACCACATAATTAAAATGGGTAAGAAATTTATTTCAGTTTGGAAACTTAAATTTTGTCAGTATTTTGAGGCATAAATGAGGAAAATTTATGTAAATAATATATTTTTAATTAATTAACGGAATGATATTATTAGAGATTATTTGCATGAAAGACATTTATTCCGGTCACGTAGAGTAAGATATGTTTTGTCAATACTACTTTATCCGATGTGTTTTATTGAAAGTACTTTTATCATGCGTATTAGTTTAGGCGAAAAATAATGTCAGATAGACACACCTTCCATTTATTTTCTTGCAAAATCGAATTTTAATTGTTGAATAGTTTAGGGTTTTCTAAAACGGGTTAGCATTATGGTTTTTATAAATTAGAGTATGTTGAGAAATAGTTTAGGTTTAGGGTTTGATATTGATTTGAGATTTTACGAGTTATGGTAGTAAGATATTAGTTTTTGTTCGAATATTTTGTATATAAAGATATAATCACAATTTGATTTGATAAAAGTTTATATTAATAAAAGATAAAATACAAATGAAAAATTAAAATATTATGATTATTGATTGTGAGATGTCAACAAAATATGATATTTCATTCTAGTTGTGTCATGGATTTTTATAATGACCATATTGTTGTGGTTGTTCGGTCTTTTCTCTGATATTCCCATTGAAACAAATCTTAGTTAATATCGGACAACCTTTTGGATAGCAAAACAATAAAGGATCTTATAACATTGTAAACTCATTTCATTCTCACTCATAACATAGAATAATTAATAAGAAATACATATAAATTTATGACTTGCCATATATGGATATTTGAGTGCTTAAAAGACTTTATAATTGCATAAGTGTTTAGCTATGTTAAACCTATATGAGTTTTGCACTACACCTTCCAAAGGAAACACTAGTTTAGTAACTCAATATATATATTGAATGCGAAAATTTTTAGAATTGCCAGTTGGTCCCGTGACGCAGTGAAAAATTAAATTGATGATCTTCTTTATAGATCAATGTACGAATGGCGAAAGCAGGAAAAAAAGAGATGTAGACCTTGTTTTTTTGGATAAAGGTATAAAGAATTGGTGCAGATTCGATCACCTTCTCGTGATCTCGATCAAGCCACAACGAAATGTCTTAGTCTTTATGTAGTTTGCCCGGTAGAAAAGAATGACAAGTCTTTTCATAGTATTTCTGTAATATGGGGATACTTTGTTCATTTTAACATGTAGAGACATTTTGAAAATTCTACATCACATAAGGATATTTTGATTATTTCATATATCAAGGTCTCATACTAAGCTTATGTATTCATTATGGATTGATTTCAACCTTCTTTTGATGCATTAAGAGGTAAATCTAGTGTTAGCTCTATCGAATAACCGAAATACGTCAAGATAGGAATAAATTGTCTTATAAAATATTTAGTGTGGAAGCAACCAAAAAATAAAATTTTGAACAATGATTTAGAGTGGTTCGACTTCTAAAGTAAGTCTACACTAGTATCCGCACTAAGGATTTCCCAAATCCACTAAATTTTCTAACCTTTGAGGACAATGTGTAACCTTGCTTACACTCTCTCCACAATAGGAGTTAAAAATTTAGCAAACAAGAGAGAAAACCTCACAAGAAGAATGTGTTTGCAACAAATAAGCTCTCACCCAAATCATACTCGAGTGAGATAGATAATGAGCTCCAAGTGTATTACAATGGAAAGAATATGACAAATAAGCTCTTAAACTCTTTTGATGTTGGTAAGATCTTTTAATAATGTTTCTCTTGTTTTCCATTTGATTCTTGATCCCTTTTATGTCATCTAATGCATTTCTAGTCGTTTGGAGTCGTAGATGGTTGATTAGAGCCGTTAGAATCATTAATTTAGAACATTAAATGCTCGCATGCAAATTTAGTATCGATACCAAGGAATGAGTATCGAGACCAAACATCTAGACTTTGAAATTTATAGTCATAAGAGCCTTTAGTATCGAAACTAAATTACATTCTAGAATATTGATATCGTTATTGGTTATGGTTTCGAGAATCAGGGATAGTTTTTGACAAAATCAAATATTTTTTAGCTTTGAAAAATATTTGTAAATTATATGATGACTCAAAAACACTTAATATTAATATTTTTCACAATTAAAAATCATTTGAAAACATTTTATGATAAATTTTCATAATTTCTTAAGGTGTAAATTTTAACAAGATAATTCATTTAGTAAATCATGTTATATTAAAATCAAATATTGATTCAACAGAGTCGTAACTCTATTTTGACATACTCAGTATTATTATTTTGGAATGTATTATTAGGAGCTCCTCATTTGTGAACTTTATTTATTTATGTTTTGAAAATATGGATTTAATGACGATTATAATCGAGATTATAGTTTTTGTGTGGGGTCTTGAATAAAAAAAATAGTTAGTCGCTTCGCTGATTTTGTGTAACGCTTTAATCCCTCAAACTTTGAATTAGATAGAATTAGGATATTACACATAAGGTATGTAACATCTTCAATACCGGGTTAGTGACCAAATTGTAAAATTTCATGAATTGGTGATTAAAGTGGGATAATTGAATAGTTCAATGATTTATTGAAAATATGATGAAGGTTATTTAGTAATTATTGAATGAACTAAAGGGTAAAATAGTCATTTGACATGGAATATTTTTATTTTTCCTTTATTAGATAAGGAAGCCACGTAGAAGAGAAAAGAAAGCAAAATAAACTTCCAGAGTTCTCTTTTTCTTCTTCAGTCGTGAGTCACAATGGCCAAGGTGAGTTTTGTGGATTAGTTGATTATTTGTTAAAATAAAAATTGGTTTATGATTATTAGATGATAACTAAGCTTAAGGAAAGCTTAAGTTATCTTAAAATCAAAGTATGATGGAGTTAGGAGGGATTAAAGATTTGAGGTTCCTGGGTGAAATCTTGAAATAGAGTTCATAACTAGAGTTGGAAGTTAAATTTGACTTGTCAATGGTCTAATTAAGAAGTTAGAAGCCATAGAATTGGAATTAAAACATATTGCAAAGTTGGTTTAATTCTTGGGTTACATATGAGGAAAAGAATTTTGAAGCTAAAGATGGTTCATATGGATATAAATTGGTTTAAGCATGTGTATATGAGTTGAGAACATGAAAGAGGTTGAAAGATGAAGCATTTGAGTTGATTTGAGTAGATTTTAGAGCTTAAAAATGAATTTTGGGCTATGTGCATCGATGCACATTCGAGGTGCACCGATGCATCAAGGGTAAATTTCCAGAAATTGTTCAGAGGTATATCGATGCACAGGAAGTGCATCGATGCACCCATTAAAAATGGAAACATCAAATGCAATTAATGCATCGATGCGTAAGGAGTGCATCGATGCACATGATAAGGGATGCATCGATACACTGTAGAATGCATCGATGCACTTCAAGGGAAATAAAATTATACCTTTCTTTTGGTGTAAGAAATGATAGATTAGTGTATATCAACTGAATACTAATATGTATCAATGTATGATTATATGGATATCGAGCACGAACAAGTCCCGGAGTGATTATCAAGTTATGATTCGATCGCAAGAGAGGAAATTATGATATATGGATTGGAACTTAGTGAGGCCAATGTGAGTGCATATTATTTTATATATGATGTTTAATAGGAAAATAAGACTTGTGACAAGTCTAATTTCTATAGTATTGTGCATGAAGCATGAACATGAACATGTGTTTGTTATGAGTGTCTAAGTTATATATTATGGTATGTGTTGACATGTTATAGTATATGTATTTCATGGTTGATGTGAATATATGCTATGTTATGATGATATGATAAGAAATTATATGAATATAAAAGAGAAGTTATGTGATAATATCTTTGAGATATATAGAAATGGAATATAAAATTTCGCGAATACATGATATGGAATAAATTAGGTAATAATATGGGAATATGGTAGAAAGCGAGTTTAGAAGAAATGATGGGAATGAAGTACTCAAGTGTAAAGGTTATATAAACAATAAGAATGTGAGTTGGGTAAGTGAATGGTGGTATGGACATTTATGTGAAATAGTAAAATATAATTATATCATTGAATGAGAATTGAAACAAAATAGATAATATTAACCTATATGATGATATGAGACTTGAACATAAGTGATAATATGAACATATAAGATGAGTTGATGGGAAAGATACATATGCTTAAATAAAATTATGATATATGGGTTGTATGATGGAAATCTACGTAGTCATATTAGAAAGTTATAGGTACTATATGAATTGAATTAGGTAAATAGATTAGATTAGTATTTAAATGAAATAATAGAAGTGACATATGTTTATGAGTGTGACAGATGTGATATGATCTAGGTGAATATCATAGAATGAGGTATAAGCTATATGATATGAGATAAGTTATTTTATACATATATGATATAAGCTATTAATCAGGACATATGGGATTATGAGAAGGAGAATATAAATGATGTGAATACAAGTATAGGAAAAATGATATATATATATATATATATATATATATATAAAGATGAATTATATGAATACACATTTAGATGATGAAATGATGGATTATATGAACATGTGA